ACCATCATCATCAGAAGCATCATCATAATATTCTTCTTCATCATCATCAACATCTGCATCAAGATAATTACTAGCACTACTGTAACAGTCATCATCATCACTATCACTATCACTATTACCACCCTACCATAATCATCAGAAGCACCATCATAATATTCTTCTTCTTCATCATCAGCATCTGCATCAAGATAATTTGCAGCACTACTGTAGCAGTCATCACCACTATCATAATTATCATCATCATCATCATCATCACTTCCAGATTAACCATCACCACGCCATCATAATCACCATTTGCATCAATGTTATCATTACAATTATCAGCATCAGCATGAAAAAAGGAGAATGTCTTCATCAAAGCTGACTTGCAGACAAAGTGTGGGCGGACGGATTCATGACTTGGTGTCCACACGAACAAGCATACCAAAGTCCAGTCTTGACGGGACTGAAATGAGACAAGACGGCCAGTCGAGCGGGGTTGGGTGTGGAGAAAAGTTGTTTTACCGGGACTTGAAGGAAAAATAAAATGTAAGTTGTCCAAGCGGTGAATAAGCAGACCGATTTGCTGTGAAAGAATGCAACCGAGGCATGAGGATGGAAAGCAATTAGCTGACGCGAAATGTGCTTATCGCGTTGGTGCTTGTGGCAAATGACCACAGTTTTGCACGCAAATGGGCACATTTATCTCCCTCCTCCGTGCAGCTTCGCGACGTTCTGGTGTTCTGGCGTTCTGGTTCGCGCTGAAAATGGGAAGAATGTCGCTGTCAGACAATGCGAAAAAGCCGCCCAACCAAGCAGAATAAGCTGCAATCTCAGACGGCCCAGTCCGCGGGACTCGAGCAGCCCAGTTGCCAGGTGATCCGGATCACAGGCCCGAGTGTACAGGTTGGTGTCGGCATCGGTTCAACGTTAAAGTTGAGTGTAAACCGGATTGTCGAGTTGGCCTCACGAAGACGAAGGAAAGAGCTCGAAGTGTGTCTTTGAGCGGTTGTGATTTTTGCAGTTCACGAAGCAGACGTCAACGCCTCAATACGCCATTTCGGCTAATCCGAACTGAGCGGTTGTCGACGTCACTGACTTGACAACTTGAAGGCAGCACTTACGCACATCCAACGATACACTTAACCTTTAAGCGTATTGCCCAAAAAGGGAAATGAATCGAAAAAGAAAAAAATGAATAAAAGGAGCAGGAAGCGGAAAGAGAGGTGTGAAAGAGTGAGGTCAAAAAGAATAAAAGGTATTGTGAAATCATAAAGGAAGAATTGGGGACGAGAGAAAGGAATAAAAGAAGAAATACATATTCAATTAAAGAATAAGCAAGAAAAGAATTAATGAATGAAAGAATGAAAAAAAGGTTCGAGTAAATAAATAATTAAGGAATAAAT